ACCTTACTCAATGCAGCCGCTTGCAGGTTGTGTTGTGACATCACTGGCAAGTGTGACGGGTTGTGTCAACTCTAGGAACAAATTTAGTGTGTGGGCACCTGCCTGATTATCAGACTTTCCTATGGTTGAAGGCAGTTTGTCCCAGGGTTGTGCATTCCTCATCTCAAATAGAAAAAAAAGAAAAATCCCAAACAGTGTAAAGGGAGAGACCCCCAGTATTTGAATTTATCAAGTTACTCATTACATTTTCAGCTCTCCCCCCATTTTTCCCTCAGCAGTGTAACTTTTAGTACTATCCCTGAATAATCCCTGATTCTCCTACCATATCCTGAGTGTGTGCTTAAGCACGTGAAACATTTAAAGAACTTCCAGTTTGTGCAGTATCGCTGTTTTTCATTGCGGGGGGATTCGGGGGAGAGTGAGTTCAGGGTGGGCTGAAGTTCCCTGAAAAGCACCTTGGAAGAGTTGGGCCTGTAGCTGATCCTTAAAAGGTGAATTTGAATTTGAGAGGAAAGTGAACACTGCTATTGCTATTGAACTGCTAGAGCAAAGATTGGGGGATGTTCGGAGGACTGTAAGCCTGGCCGTAGCCACTGGAAATTAGATTAGATCGGTAGAATTGGTCAACTCTACAGGGCCCTGAGAGCCAGGCAGAGCACTGGGCAGCAAGGGTGTACGAGGAAGAAACACAGTGGAAGTGACGTTGAGAAAGATTTCACTGGATGAGCTGGTTAATGTCACGCACATGCATAGATGTTGGCCTGTAGCTGTAAGCAGTTCACGGCCTCTGAGGAAGAATCCTTTGGCTCAAGACAGGAAGACTAAGTGGACAGCTACTGAAAGAGTCACATAGAGATGTAAATCTAAATGAAGGTGAGAGCAATGAAGAGGGAAACACACATTTTTGAAGAAAAAATGAGTAAGAGTTTGTGTCTCATTGAACTTGGAGATGAAGGAGGGGGAAGGAATGGTCAAAGTTAGTGACTGGAGAAATTAAAGGAAAGAGTGTCCCAAGGAAAGAATTAGTTGAGATCCATAAGGACTCCTGTCAGTTGTGCTTATTAGTTTTATGTGCTTGTGTTTAGAACTGAAGAGAGAAACTTGGGAGAAAGAAAGCTAAGTGAGGAGACCCATAATCCTAAACACCCCAATAAAAGAGTTTCGGAATTGTGGGCTCAAAAAGAGCTACACGCTCAGTCAAGCTCTGTGAGACAAGGCAAAGTGCTTTCTTCATAATATATTCAGCCAGGAATATGTTCTCTGACTTTACAACTTCTTAAAATAGGAGTCCATAAAGAAGAAGCAGAAAGCAAGTATTTGCAAGTTCACTGGGGGAGAAAAAATGTTTTTCTCCTAACGCTATATTTCAAGTCCCTCGTATTTATACTAATTTTAATGTTTACAAACTTGCAACCCGTAGTGGTAGATTCTGTTATCCTCTATGTAAGTTGTATTGTCAGTGCTTGGGTTACTTTATTTTATATAAAAACAGCATTATTAATCAAATGAAACTATAAAAGCCTCCTTGGACTCTAAAGTTGGTCTGTACCTTGTTTTTGGTAATCTGTAATCAGGAAATCCATTCACTCGTGCTTTATAATTTTTGTGCTTTTAAGTGGTCAGAGGAATGCGATATTTGCATACAGTCATGTCTAAATTGATAATTGTCCAGGCTGAGGGTAATTTTAAAGCACGGCCTGAAGAAGGGTTGCAGCTGTGTGTTAGAAGATTGTTGAGAGGTGCTGTGTGCCACCTCCCCGGCCCCTGCATTTAAATGAGACCATTGTCTCTGGTGAATTTATCTTAAGGTGAGACAGCAGCCTTCTCTGCGGCCGCACGGTTGGGAGCGAGGGGGAGGCTGCGGTTACCCAGCCGGCTTAAATGCAGGCTCTTCTTAGCAGTAAACCACACGCATGTATTCATCATTGATTTCCAAATGATAGGTTTCTATATCACTGGTTTAGGATCCACAGTCTCGCATTCCTGAATCTATATTATGCCAAAAGAATAACAATTTGGTGACTGGAAACACAAATGGTTATTATACGGCTCCAAAATGCTAGCTGGCACAATCTGCTAAAAACAGCAGAAATTCGCCCGTAAAAAAGCAGAATTTATTTGTTCTTAAAAATAACTTTAGACTCTAAAAATATGAGCTTTCGAAGTGTCATCATGGGTTCCCAACATTTTACGTTAGCTATGTAAACACCTTAAACTACGTGACTAATCTCTGAAGATGTCATGATTTCTAGCTAATGGGAAATATTCAAAGAGAAAAGTAGAATGCTTTTTACATCCACTTTTTTTTTAAGTTTCGAGGCATTTATGGATGAAGAACTAGAATGTATGCTTTCTTTTCTCTGTGCTGTCTCAAATTATTGTTTAAAATGAGGGCAGAAAGACTCGGGCTTCGTTGGAATTTCTGAGCGTTTAATGTAGAAAATGATTTTTTTTTCCTTTTTAAATAACTTTTCTCAGAGGCTCTGTGAAGCATTTCCATTTTTGCACTGCGGCCCTGTGCTTGTCGTATCACAGGACAACACATTTCGTGAAGAGGTTTTACTTCCTTTTAGCAAAATAACTGCTCCATGCAAAACCAGTATCGGCATGTACCGAACCGGGGTTTTAGTTTTTTCTGATCTAGTCAGGCTTCACTGCACTGCTTAACTGACTTTTTTTTTCTTCTTCTTTTGAAATGACGTAGTTAATTTTCCATTTGATTGTTTATTTAAACCAGGCCTCACACAAGTGAGTATGTAAATGACACACATATTCACTGTGACCCTCTGAACTGATGAGAAAGTGCAGGACAAATTTCATCTTAACCTTCTTATTCCTCTTTTCTCCAATATGATTTATTAATTCAACCTAAGACCCTCACATATCACAATAATGATCCCTGGTGAAAAAAAGGTAAAGGTGTTGTTTCGCATAGTAGCTTTTGCCACCAAACACTGTCCAAATTAATAGTAACAGATGCTTTACTTTTGACACATACAGCTGGCTGTACAGAATTTAGTTAATTTTCCTTAAGTTATACCGCAGAAGAGTAACTTATATTCACATTCCGTGACCATTGCTTAAACAACTACTGTGTGCTCAGCAGGCTTTGGTGGTGTTTCTTTTTTTATTTTTATTTTTCCTCTAGTAACTTGGAAAATTTTGTGCATAGTCCAATTGACAGATTTAATCTTGCTCTTTGTTATATATTCAGCCTGTTTACTCACACATAAAATGAAACAGGTAAACCAATTAGATATGAACAACCAATGTGCTTTATACATTGTGCCTTAACTATATTTTAATTCAAAAAAAATGTTCCCATAAATTTCTCTTGAAATACACTTCTGCTTCCTCCCCCGGTCACCTCGGGAGTCTCCACACTGACCCACATCACCGGCTCCCCCTGCTCTGGGGCATCCCTGTGCTAGTAGATCTCTCATCCTGTATGTACTTGGGCGCTACCTGAGACACCTGCACCCTGAAATCTTGCTGGGTCTGCATTTCTACCACATCAACGGAGACATTTTAGCTTAAAATTCAAGGTCACCAAAACTCAACTCCAGGTTCCCTCAGAACCTTCTGTTTTCCTGGGTTTTCTTCTAAACAGGCTCCTTGCACTGCCCTGACCCTGCTCTATAAATTTCCCTGTAGCCCATTCCCACCCACCAACCACAAGCTCAGCATATCTTGCTGGTGTGTCTGGTCTTTTTCATGAGCCCCACATCAGTTCCTTCCCCTTGCATGAGTGTTTATTGGATAATCTCTTCTCTCCTGGGAACTGAGCGACACTTAGTGTGGATGACTCTGCAGGTGCCCCACCCTCGCTGTCTGCTGTCAGTCACTCTGTCAGGTACTGGAGGCCACGCTGAGATCTCAAGCCCTTGGAGGTCTTCGTGTCCTCACTGAGGATAGCACACAGAGTCATCCACCCAGGGGCAATGGACACTGCCTTTTGTGAGGACGATCACCATGAGGGTTTGACTGTCTCCTTTAGAGAGTCTTGGAAAACAGCTGAGCGGGTTTTCCAACCAGCACTGGTGAATAAGGAGGTAGAGTTCTCCCATCCTTCAGGCAGAGGCCACGCAGGAGGCCAGTGGTGACTTTCTGAGTCCACTGTCATTCCTCTTCTGGCTGTGCTTCCAACAAACTCCACAGCTCTTCCTGCCATGGAGCAGGATATTTCGGAATATGAAAAATGGAGCACGTCAGACCTCTATTTTTCTGTTAGTAGGGGCCTGACTGTACGAGTCCGAAGAAAGCCCCGTGGACCTTGCCTTTTGGTGGCTCTTCCTGTGTGGGGTGAATCAGCACGTTCACGGAGACTCCACTGCAGCTCCTGAGAGAGGGGTTGCTTTTTGAAGATCAGTGTGAGCAGGAAATTCCTGCAGGCTTAGGGTTATACCCTGAAATTCGGGGGGAGGACAAAGCATGACCCCAGAAGAACCGTAGGGAAAACTCACTCTGAGGAAAGGAAGACTGAATGGCAAAATGTGTACGTGGCTTCCCCCCGCCCTGCATATCCTAGAAATAACAGTCCTGCTGGTGTGCCGTCTTCACCCGAGGACACACGGGCACACACAATAAATCCCAAGCCAAAGAACTGAAAGAGTGATTCATGCCAGCCCGGCCCACACCAAAATCATCAATTAAAGTTCAAGATGGATTCCATACTTTCCTTAGACCCTGAAGAATGATCTGACTTTCTTCTTGAAATTGTTTAAATAGGAAAAGAATATGTGCTGGTTTCTGAGCACGTTGGTGTGTATGACTTCTCGTCTCTTTAAAAAAGTTTTTAATCTTCTCTTCAGAAGAATATTAAGTAATTAACTGGGTTACTCTTCCCCTGAAGGGTAAATCAGCTGTCCTGTGATTTTTTTGATCTATATGTACGTCGGATCCTTAGGCTTTTATTTTTTTTCCTCATGGAGCGTATTACTGAAAAAGATGCTGTGTGTCCAGATTTCTTTTTAAGGACTGTCGTCGTTTTGTGTTCACAGGGAACGGGTACGGCAATCCCCGAAACTCACCAGGTCTGCTGGTCTCACCTGGTAACTTGAACAAGAATATGCAAGCAAAATCTCCTCCCCCCATGAATTTAGGAATGAATAATCGTAAACCAGATCTCCGCGTTCTTATCCCACCTGGCAGCAAGAACACGATGCCATCCGTGGTAAATGCAAAACTACATTTTATATAAATGTTAATAATATTTTGTGCATGTTTTTCTACTTTAGTATTTATCTAACTTTATCAATCACTTAGAGAAATTAACCAAGAAAATTAACATTGTCAACTAGTAGTGTTATTAGTACTATTGATGGATCCGGGTTCTATGCAGCTATTACTTCGGGTAACTGCTTTGCATTTTCCTTTTCCAAATTAAAAAAAAAAATCAGTAAACTCTTCTTAGCACTGTTGTTCTGGTACAAGGAAAACATTTCTGTTTAGAGCTCCCTATTTATAGTCAGAAAAAAAATAAAATTCTACCACTGGTCAAATCATATGTTTCTTCAGTGAAGTAATAGATAATAAAGTACTACATAACATGACGTTCGTACCGTACTAGGGTGTTTATGTCCTCAAGATCTGCCAAGGAAAAATACCTTCTGTATTTCCTAAGTAAACTTTCTCCTGCTAATTGACAGCTCTTTTCTTCAGTATATTTCAGAGTTAATATCAAAAAACATCACATACCTCCATGCTGCCTTAATTTCATCTTTCTGTGTGCATACTTCATGAAAGTAGCTAATTCACAAAAGCATCCTGTGTTAAAATCTCAGACATGTCAAGCAAAGCAGGTTGCATTTTACGTTAGAAAGAGTTGTGACTCTTCTACGGAGAAATAAATAGATATAAAGTGTTCATTTAAATATATGTAAAATATTTCCAGAGCCTATCCCTTTCTTTCCCATGGGTCTATGTACCTACAATAAAAGGAAGATGGTGGGGCTGAACTCCACATCGACACACTTACATCACTGGTCCCCAAGCCAGTTGTGCTTAAGAGTGAGAACATTGAAATCCAAGATGCAGCAAATTTAGATCATTCTGGAACACCTTCCTTTTTTTTTCTTTTTCTTCCTTCCTTCATCCCTTTCTTTCTTCTTTCTTTCCTTCCTTCCTTCCTTCCTTCTTCCTCTCCCTTTCTCTCCCTCACTTCCTTCCTTCCTTCCTTCCTTCCTTCCTTCCTTCCTTCCTTCCTTCCTTCCTTTCTCTGCCCTGTGGAAAGCTTCAGGGTAGAACAGTCCTGCTAGCTGATTAGCTTATTATGGCACAGTGCAGATTAATTTTGAATATTAACCCCCCAAAATCACATCATCTGCAACATTCCCTTTGGAAAAAGACTGGGTCTAATAAATAAAACCTTCCATGGGGCTTCAGCCCCGCAGTGAGGACTGGCAGGCCATCTCTATCAGCAGGTTTATTCCAGGTACCTTAAAACTGATGCTTGCCTAGGGATTCTGAGAGCGCGGTCAGGGCAGTCTCTCTCTGGTAACCAGGTGTGACTGCCTCCTCCCCCAGCAAGTGAGCTTTCAAAGTACAGTCTTTTTGTTCCAAATACGGTGGTGAAATCATGAATATCGAGACACTGACCTGTGTTGAAAGCCAGATAGGTTGTCTTCACGTTTGAGATAAACACCTCATTAAGGGAAACAAAGAATGCCTGTATAAGGAGTTATCTTTGGAGTCTAGGTTTTAAACTGTTTAAACTGTTGTGTCTATCAGAAAATGCCTTTCCTTTGGTTGAAAAGCTTTTGCCCAATTATAAATATTTGCAGACACTAATTAATAAAACTCCTCCTGCATGCTTTCAGTCCGAGGATGTTGACCTGCTTTTGGTAAGTATGTGACCGCGTCCCTTACGTGGCAAGGAAATAGTCGAAGCTGCCTTTAGCGGTAGGCGGAAGCTCTGGTGAAACCAAGAGACTGAAACTTACCGTAGTGTGTCCACACAGATTATGCTTAAGTACAGTTAATGTCTAGTATCAGTCACAGGGGAAAAGAATGTCTGCTTATTGTTTTCTGTCCCCACAGCCTCTGGAAACTGGAGGCCTTGTTTTCAACATTTTAAGATTTAATTGACGAGAAAATATTTATCCTGTCACTTAAAGCTGAACTACTCCTTGCACTAAGAGCTAAGTGCCATTGTTTTAAGTGGATACGTGTCTTTAATCTCCTTGCTGTAAAGTGTTAAATACAGGCCTTAGAAGCTTTGCCCTCTAGTTGAGCTAAGTTTAAAAGCATCGGAAAAAAAGTGGTCAGAGCACCACCTGCTGGTCAGAATAGAACATGAACCCCCTTACCGTCTGCTCTGCGGTACATAGAACAGAACACAAGACCCACCATGGTTGATTTTAATTTTTTTTTAATTTGCATTTGAATAAAAACTGAAACAATGGAAGTACAGTATACATATTTCATCAGTTCTCAGCATAGTCTGTTTTTACCCATAATAAAGCTATGGTACTTGTTACTAGTTCAGTTGCCTAGGAGATACTGATGTAATGGGTTACTATGGCAACAGCTGGTCTCTTGAAGGATTGTAAATGATAGGGTTGGCAGAGTTCATAGAGACACATGTTAAATGATTAATTTCATGAGCTTTGTACCAAGTTATCTCTTTATCTGCAAAACTAATACTGAAATCTAGTATTTTAACTTCCGTGAAAAATTCCATCAATACTGTCTTTTTATTTACTTTAAAAGAATCAAAGGATAAATAACTCCCAGTCTGCTCAGTCATTGGCTACCCCAGTGGTTTCCGTAGCAACCCCTACTTTACCAGGACAAGGCATGGGAGGATATCCATCAGCCATTTCAACAACATATGGTACCGGTAAGTAGCTTTGCCATGTGTAATTGTTAAATACCTTTTATTAAAAAGCAAGCTGAACAGCATTATCATCTTTACCCTGTCCAGTATCTGTGGGGTCTAGAGCACTACATAGTTACTTCTGCCTTACTGTGGCAAAGTAGTTATCCACACTCTTCTTTTTTAAGTGACTGAAAGTTTTATTTACCCAACCTGAATTCAAAATAGAAGAACAAATTCAAGGCAGTTGAGCCATTACTGTATTTCTTTGGTGCCATAGAAAGCTCACTTCCTCAAGTTTGTCTAAAAGACATTTCTGGATTGTCAAATGTGCCATGTACCATTATGGTACACCAGGTTGTAGTGTAATAACCCACAGTTGCAGGCTGCACTGCTTCAGACCTTTCATGGAATACTTGTTTTTGAAGAATTATTATCCCTGGTGGTTTCATCCTCCTTTCCTCCCAAATTAAAAAAAAACAAAATGCAAGAACATTGTAGGCATTGAAAATGTTTGATTTTATTTACCATTGGATCTTTTTCTAATCGGATTTTTTCCCTTACTGTTGTATGTGTCGATGCAGAGTACTCCCTGAGTAGCGCAGATCTGTCATCTCTGTCTGGGTTTAACACGGCCAGCGCTCTTCACCTTGGCTCGGTCACTGGCTGGCAACAACAGCACCTCCATAACATGCCGCCATCTGCCCTGAGTCAGTTGGGGTAAGCAGTATTATTTCTTCTATAATATCATTTTAGGATATGTCGTTAAACTGACAAGTGACAGTCTTTAAACACGTGCTTTTGTGTCCCATGAGAGAGTGCACAATGGTACTTTATAGAAATGTAAAGGAAATCTTCAGACCAATCCCTTGTGAGTGGTTTAAGTTTTACATCCCTTAATAGTTTTAAGAGGAAGGGGAGCCCTGATATCACGAGTCAAACTCTTTATTCTTTTAGGCAGTGTTTATTTCCACTTCTGTGGTAGTATTTTTATGTAGTTATCAGACAGTTCACTTGGAAACTTTGAAGGCATCTACACTTAGAATTTGTTTAGGGTTCTTGAAGTTTTTTAAGGTTTTGGGATATTAGAGATTCTTGGCATAAACTAATAATAAAGTGAACCCTAATATTCGTAAGATTGACTATTCAATTGATATACAGGCTTCAATATTTATAATGTTCTCATAGTACAATTATGTACTTATAGATATTTTATTAAAATATGTGTGCTAATTAGTACATGCAATGCTAATTACTAAATTTGGGTAAAAAAATTATTTGGTTGTTTTTTGGTCAAAGGATGTGTCTTTCTGCCCCCTTGTGGTAGTTTTGAGATACACCTTTATTGTAGAAGAGGACTCCTGTCATTTATCAAGGAAGCGTTCTAACTTTTAAAAGCCCTCAATTCAAAATTGACACTACTACTTTCAAGTTACAGAAAAAAGATACAATGTAAACAAAAGACCTGACTTTAATTAGTGACTTCAAATCTGCAATTAATCCTCAAAAGAAAACAGGATATGAGATATTTAAAGATAAATTTTTATATTTCAGAAGCATTCCACATGCCACACTCACTTTAGCTTTACTACTAAACCATGTAGTTATAGTTAACTAGTTATATTACTTAACTAGTTTCATATCTATATTTCTCAGGAGGTGAGAATAAACCATTGATTAGAATAAAAGCCAGTGTCTGATATCACAACTTCATCTCCTATACTCTGGCTTTTGGGTAGCACTGATGTATTGTAAATTAGTGATTTGGTAATGGTGTCTTCACTCATTCACCATCTGCTCAGATCCACCCCATTCACTAATATTATCGCCATCAGCATCCTAACCTTTCATGTAAACAATAAAACTAGTTCATATGGCATTGTTCCTCTTTCTTGAAAAAATCCTTTACATTGAAGCTGTATTGTTCAGTATTGATTAGGAACAGTTTCTCTTTCTAGGGCAATTAAATTTTCTCTTCAATGCTAATTATGCAAGTAGGCATTGGTTGCAGTAATTTTTTAGGTAGTTATCACTAAGTACATGATACCCCATGGGGGGGGTTAAATATGTGCATGTGGCTTAGCAGTGAATCTACTCTAAATGTTTCTTACCAATAATAAAAGTGTTTAGTTCTCATTTTTTCAAAATTCCTTCATTATAGCACTAGATTTCTTGAGAAATTATCAATAGCAAAAGCCATATCATTTTACCTGAATATGGCTTTCTTTTGTTTTCAGTAATCTGATAATTTCCTTTGTAATTGTGAACACATGCCTATTGCTATATTTTAACTCTACTACAGTTTTAAAGCTCTCTTCCTTTACGTGGGGAGAGTCTAATTCTCTTCTGGCCCTGATAGAGGCCCCATAAACAAGAAAGACGTGACAGCCCCAAACTAGGGAGGAGCTGAGCTAACCACGGCCAGGGATGAAGCAGTTTGTTCAGCTCCTTGTGTTTTTCAGCACTGAATATTATTGCCCATAATTTAACTCTAAATTTAGTCTATGAGTTTTAATTGCACTTAATCAGTTCCTTTATACTTCAAATCAGTTCTCTGACCCTTCCAGGCTTTTTAATGCTGGTCTCCCCTCCTCTCCTCCCTTCTCTCGTCTTCTCTCCCTTCCTCTCCTCTCCTGTCCCCTCCCTTCCCATCCCCTCCCTTTCCATCCCATCCCTTTCCATCTCTCTCTCCCCCAGCCCCTACTCAATTCATATACACAAACACATTCACAAGCACACCAATGCCACCAATATAGTAGCTTCCAGAAGGCAGATCCTTTCTAATGGACTCTGTGGCTTTAGCACAATTAAATGTAAAAATTGTCCTTTTAAAAAAATCCCAAATTGTAGTATAAATAGATGTGCTACCTTAATTCCTCACAGTGTAAATTAGTAAAAGAGTCAATACATTTCCAAGTCAACTTAACCTCAGAGCTAGTAGTACTTGGGACTCATTTGGGGGCTAGTACAGTATCCAAAAAAAAAGCATGGAGTCAATTTAAGCACCACCAAAGTAGGTATTCCCAACACCCCAAGATAGTTGCTACACTTGTTTCTCAAAATTATAAAAGCATTATAGAGCTCTTTGTATTTTGTTCAAGAAAGCGTCCGTTTTGTCCTCTCACGTGTCCAGTCTTCAAAGCTCTAGTTTCAAACTAGAGTAACTTCAAAGCTCTAGTTTTAAACTAGTTAGTAACTGATTTTATATAACAAAGTTAGATGAGCAATATAAATTTGTTTTATGTAGGAAAAAACATGACTGGCTGAGGAATCTGTCATATTTCAGAAAATGACCCTCAAGCTTTAGGTGTTTTTCTCAACTACCACCTAAAAAAAGGTCAGCCTGTTTTCTGGAAGCATTGGCACACACTGTCTTTGTTGATGTGGGCACCCAGTATACACTGAGGGAGGCCACTGGGAGTAGAGATGACTGTCAAATGGTTAGGTTAAATATCACTTGATAGTCTAATCCCCAGCAGAGGCAATAAGAAGTTTGAATCACACTATCCAGTGATGTCTGACTTCTGAACAGTTTGAAGAAAAGGTAGATGTTTTCCCAATTCAAAGGCATCTGGAGTAGAGTAACTGAACTGGGTATATCTAGCTCATCCTTCCCCACCCACCTTTTTATCATCCATCCACACATAGGAAAGCCTTCCACAATTACCCATGTCTATATTTTGTTCTCAAGGACAAGTGGATGTATGTGCAGGCATCTGAATTTAGCACATATGAGTTAAGTGACTTTTTAAAATGCTGCCCTTCCTTTTCAAGAAAATATTCCTTTGATAGCAGAAACTAGCTTTCTATCTTGACTCCTATAATAAAGTAGAATGAAGCTGAGTCTGAAATAACTTGCATCCCATTTCTGTGTATTTAGTCCCCAGAACAACTCTGAAAGTTTCTGTATGCTTTGGCTGTTAAATACACTGCCACCAAAAGATAAACTCCCATTGTTCTACTTATAGGAGAGCATCACCAATAATTGTCCCATCTTTCATGGGGAAAAGGTGAAGCTGACCTTACACAAACCACTTGCCATTGGTAGATGAAGTAAATAAGGGGCAAATGCAGCTTCAAAAAACTATAAGAAACACCATTTGATTATATCACTTCGTTCAATTTACCTAGATTAACTGCTCATCCTGGTCTAGCTCACCAGTCTTTTTCAATCTTCCATTTCACCCTGACAGGACAGACACAATTGAAATGTCAGAGAACAGAAAAAGTATTTATTGATATGCCAAATTATTTTCAGGATCCTAATTGACATTCATTATTAAAGAGTTTTGTGATCCATAGTAGAAACATTTGATTAAATTTTAGTGAAGTAATCTTACCCAGAGCCAGGAAAATTCTTTCTTCCAGAAATCAAAAGATGATTTCCTCTCACATCAAAATGAATCATTAAGTAACTTTGAACAAGAAAAAAATAGTCCACCATTATGAGTCATTCTGAATATGTGTTCCCTCCCTCTACCATTTTAATATCTTCTTGATTTAAAGATTATTTAATGAAAACTCTCAGGAGCTAACCTAGTCAACTATAAAATATGTTACAAATAAATATCTCATAGCATAAACAGAATATTGAAAATCATATACACTCAGTGTAGAATCTTGATTTAAGTTCTAGGATTGTTTTGATTCCTTAAGATCAGAAAGGCAGGGAAAGAAATGGCTTATTACAGAAGCAAATAATTCTCTCATGGATTTTTCTCAACATTAGTTCATGTATTAAGAAAGGGAAAGTAATTCTTTGCCAGTAGGTGGTGCTTTCGTATAAAACATCACTCAAAGATAAATTCATTTCAGATTAATTTTATATCTCCACATCCTGAGCATGCACTGCAGCTCCCAAAAAGCCAGCCTCAGGTTACTCCACTGTCCCTCTGAAATGTGCACTCCTTCTGTCCGTGCTCCAAATAACATTGTTAACACCATCCACTTCTCTCCCTGGGAAAGCAGCGTAATTACATACATTAATAGGCAGGCTTGCTTCCCTTTGTTTAAAATGGGTGTGTCTATGTGGATAATTCTTTACTCTGACTCTTCCTCAGGGAAAGAGATTGTTGTACTCTCTTGACAGTATGCTCTAGCCCTGGGTGTCAATGAGATCAGAATGTGAAAACAATAAAAGTATCTTGCAATTGATGCCAGCCATGTGACATGGTTTACCGTGATCAAAGTCATTGTGACAGCTAATTTAAACTTAAAGTCTCGATGTTTTTCCTCGTTAGAATTTCAAGTATCTACATTGTCCCACATTTTGGAAGGACAAACTAGACTCTCTGAGAATAAGCAAGAGTTAAGGATTGTAAACACACTAAAACACATTACTCCCTTCTGTACAAGCATATTTCCATGAGCAACACCAGATTCAGCAATTAATACCATCATAAATAAAGGAGCAGTAGGCTGGATTACTCTGTCAGGGAATGGCTAACAGTAGTAAAACAGATACTTTCATCCCATGTAGCTGCAAAAGGATGAAGAAAGGCCAATTATTTATCTACGTTAGTGAGATAGAAAACCTGTTTTTAAACAATATTTTAAATCTCTCCAGATAATTTTCAATGTCCTTCCTTCTTCCCCCTGCTTTCCACTCTTCCAACTTTTTTTTTTTTTTACCAGTTATGGGTACTGTGTAGCATTTGATGGGTTCTAAACTCTATTTGCATGTGCTTATTAATTGGAGGAAAATGTTGATATGATAATAAGCTGTTGAAAATAATTCTGGGGTTGGAGGCATAGCTCAGTGGTAGAGCAGTTGCTCAGCAAGCACGAGGCCCTGAGTTTGGCCCCCAGTACCGAAAAGTAATAAATAAGTGTCACACACAGGTGTTTGTCAATCAAGGAAGCCTAATTCAAAGCTAAATAGTGTTTCTAAAGGTTTAAAAGATTAAAATTTAGGACGAGTATAGGGAGAAGTCCCAGGGACACATGGTGCTTCAAACCTTTCTGAGGCGGTGCCCATGCAGTTAGGGAGCCTGTCAGAGAGGAGAGCTCTGATTCCTGCAGCCTGGACCAGTTCCTTACTGCTGTTGTGCCAGGCCAACCCGCAGAGGGACCCCAAATCTCTGGAAGGCGCTGATGCCGGTGCCCGCTCTGGCATGCTCTGGTGTCTGTGGGGGTCTGTAGGCTGATGTGTTATGTAATTGTGAGTTCCTGGGGCCTCCTGGCCTCCTCCATCTGTAACTGGGTTTCCTTTCCTCCTACAGAGCTTGCACTAGCACTCATTTATCTCAGAGTTCAAATCTCTCCCTGCCTTCTACTCAAAGCCTCAACATCAAGTCAGAACCTGTTTCTCCTCCTAGAGACCGTACCACCACCCCTTCGAGATACCCACCACACACGCGCCACGAGGCGGGGAGATCTCCTGTTGATAGCTTGAGCAGCTGCAGTAGTTCCTACGACGGCAGCGACCGAGAGGATCACCGGAATGAATTCCACTCCCCCATTGGACTGACCAGACCTTCGCCGGACGAAAGGGAAAGTCCCTCAGTCAAGCGCATGCGACTCTCTGAAGGATGGGCAACATGATCACATTATTACTTAATAGTTTTTTTTTTTTCTTGCAGTGTGTGTGTGTGCTATACCTTAATGGGGAAGGGGGGTCGATATGCATTCTATGTGCCGTGTGTGGAAAAAAAAAAAAAAGTCAGGTACTCTGTTTTGTAAAAGTACTTTTAAATTGCCTCGGTGATACAGTATAAAGATAAACAGAAATGCTGAGATAAGCTTAGCACTTGAGTTGTACAACAGAACACTTGTACAAAATAGATTTTAAGGCTAACTTCTTTTCACTGTTGTGCTCCTTTGCAAAATGTATGTTACAATAGATAGTGTCATGTTGCAGGTTCAACGTTATTTACATGTAAATAGACAAAAGGAAACATTTGCCCAAAGCGGCAGATCTTTACTGAAAGAGAGAGCAGCTGTTATGCAACATATAGAAAAAACAAATGTATAGAAGTTCGGACAGACCCGGCAGTGGGTGGCCATCGGTAAATGTTAGGAACAAGCCCCGGTCAACCTAGCATCCGGAGCACGCTCACAAACCTGCAGGCGAATCATTGGCGTATGGTACTCATTAAAAAGGATCAAAGACCATTAAAAGAGGACCATACCTATTTAAAAAACAAAAAACAAAAAAACAAAAAAGTGGAGTTTGAGAGCTAACGTATTTAATTAAATAAATAAATCTGGGTCTGCATCTCTTATTAAATAAAAATATAAAAATATGTACATTACATTTTGCTTATTTTCATATAAAAGGTAAGACAGAGTTTGCAAAGCATTTGTGGCTTTTTGTAGTTTACTTAAGCCAAAATGTGTTTTCCCCCCTTGATAGCTTCGCTGATATTTTAAACAGTCCTGTAAAAAACCAAAAAGGACTTTTTGTATAGAAAGTACTACCCTAAGCCATGAAGAACTCCTTGCTTTGCTAACCAAGATAACTGTTTTCTCTTTGTAGAAGTTTTGTTTTTGAAATGTGTATTTCTAATTATATAAAATATTAAGAATCTTTTAAAAAATCTGTGAAATTAACATGCTTGTGTATAGCTTTCTAATATATATAATATTATGGTAATAGCAGAAGTTTTGTTATCTTAATAGTGGGAGGGGGGTTATATTTGTGCAATTGCACATTCAAGTAACTATTTTCTTTCTGATTTCTTTTACTCTGCATACATTTTATAAGTTTGAGGTCAGCTGTCAAAAGGATAACCTGTGGGTTAGAACATATCACATTGCAACGCCCTAAATTGTTTTTAATACATTAGCAATGTATTTGGTCAACTGACATCCATTGTATATACTACTTAGTTTCTTTCATGCTACTTTTGTTTTGTTTTGTGCATTTTTATCAAATGCAGGGCCCCTTTCTGATCGCACCATATCACCATGCGTCTCTTGGAAAGTAAGTGCATACCCTAACTTGCCCATATCCTAAATCATACGGTTGGTTTTCAGCCTAGAATTTGATATGTTTCTTAGAAATATACCCAGAAAAGCTGGGGGGGGGCACGTGTCCTTACAGATGAGGCCCTAGAAACAAGTGATATGGAGTTTACTTGGTGAATAAGTTACAAATTCCCACAGAAGAAAAATGTGAAAGACTGGGTGCTAAAAAAGAAGGAAGCAGGTAAAGGGATAGTTGCTTTGTCATCTAATTTTGAATATTTTAACTGACCCTTAACAATCTTGTCAGCAATATAAGACTGTTGAACAATCCCAGTGTGTCAGGACCCCCAATGTCACTTCTGCATAAAGCATGTATGTCATCTATTTTTCTTCAATAAAGAGATTTAATAGCCATTTCAAGAAATCCCATTAAAGAACCTCTCTATGTCCCTCTTTTTTTAATTTTTCAAGAAAATATAACTCTTGTCTAATATTCGTCTATAAGGGATTAATTTTCAGATCCTTTAAAAGTGAGTGCCATAAAAAGTCAATATATATTCTTTAAAAGATATTTCAGTCTAGGAATGATTTCCTTCTCTTGGAATGTGAAGATCTGTCGATTCATCTCCCATCGTAAACATTGACAAGCAGAGCAAAGAAGATGTAGACAGGAATATCAGCACGGCTATACCATGTGTAGGACGTTTCTTATCCATTTCCTTTTTTTTTCTTTTCATGGCATAGTTGCTGTGTGTTTCTCATTGTTAGAGGCTGCCGCTGGGTGGCAGAAGCCAAGAGACCTTATTAACGACGCTATATTTTTCTTAACTTGATCTGCAATCCATAATTAGACCACAATGCACCTTAGGTTGTATCCAGATAGGATGCTAGCCTGCCTTGTACTAATATTTTATATACTAAAAATTTTTTAAAAGTCAATCATTTCATATATAGCCCACTACTAAAGGTATCCATGGAACATGAAAAAATAACATTTATGCAGAGGAAAACCAGAAAGGCATACATAAAAATACACATAATTTCCTCTCTCTCTCTTTCTCTCTCTCTCTCTCTCTCTCTCTCTCTCTCTCTCTCTCACACACACACACACACACACACACACACACACACAAAGGAGAAAAAGTCATTTTCCTCACCATAGACTTGATCCCATTCTCACAACTCATCTTTACAACTTAATGTGTATTAAATATGCAAGAATATCACACATGTTCCTTGCCATCTTCAAAATAGTCATTTTCCAGTATCAGTAGAACCTTACCAGTGGGTAGGAAAGAGTCATTACATGAAAATATGAAGAAATAGCCATATTAATTTTTTACCTGCAATTTGCCTCAGCGACAAAGAAAACACAAAATTTCTATTGCTGAAGATAAAGTAAGCTAAAGTACCAGCAGAAGCCTGGGCTATTTATAGCAGTTCTGACAAGAGTTTTGTAAGAACACGAACAGAATCACCTGAAAATGGATGCCAGTCATCTCTTGTTCCACTACTGAATTCACTTGCAGTGGTGGCAAGATAGCGAAGAGATAATCTGAGATTTCTTAAAGATGATTTAATGAGAAGAAGCACAATTTCTATTATGATGAGTCACTTTCTGTAAACAGTCACTGTCTATCTTTACCCCTATGCCTTTTCTGTAATTTACCTACCATTTATTGTATTTGCAAAGCTAGTATGGTTTCTATCGCAGTAAATCTTTTGTATCCAAGAGGTTAGGGCAGAGCCCTGAGGGAGTATATGATTTTAGGTTACCCGTCCTAGAGCCACACGTTAGACAACACTCTTCATGTGGCACTTTACACAGCTACAGGTACTGTGATAGGGAATCCTTTTAAAAGCTTTGGGGTAACAGTAAGCTTAAATACTGGTAGCAGTGATACAGGATACGCAAGCTGCACAACCTGTATGCTGCGTGCATTGGTGTGTGGAGGCTGTTCATTTCGACCTTTTTAAAAGCTGTGTTTTTTAGTAAAAGGCTTATTTTTTCCCAGAGGTGGAATTTAACATTTTGTAATGATGAATGTGAAAATACCTGTCATCCTTAGATTACATAAAAGTTAACTAAAGTGAGGCTTTTTTTACAAAATCCCAATTCACTTTTTAAAAGTCTGCCCTCTCACTTGCTTAGATATTTGTTTTCCTTCTGTGCCCAGCTTTTATCTTGGAGATAGCAAGTTTTTGACCCCTTTATCCCTTTTGTTTGCTTTTCCAGAGAATAAATGCTTTGTATTTCTTTCTTTTAAAAAAATTTTTTTAAAAAAAAAAGCCACTTGAACCCTCAATAAAGGCTGTTGCCTAAGCATGGCATGCTTCATCTGTTCTCCTCTCTGCCATCTGCCAGGGTGTCGTCACTTGTGTGGCGTTAATTTCCTGCCACTACAGATCTTTTGAAGATTGCTGGAATACTAGTGTCTGTTCGAATGCTTCAGACTACAGATGTAATGAAAGGCTTTTCTTAATACGTTTTAACCAAAGATGTGGAGCAGTCCAAGCCACATACCTTCCACATTCAATTTGTCCATTTTGGTTCCTTTCATAATCGGGTATTGTATTTTGCCTTCCCTGTTCATACCTCAAATTGATTCATACCTCAGTTTAATTCAGAGAGGTCAGCTATGCGGCAGATTCTGCTCTAGTTTGAATCAGTGCACTCTCGGAGCAAGTGGACCGGGGTCACTGTAGGCGTAGGACTTGCATTGCTTCCAATGGTTTGCTGTGTCATTTTTCTTCTTCTTTTCTTTCTTTTCCTGGGGACTTGTTTCCATTCAATGACAGTAATTAAAAATAGCTTGTAAATGAGGGCATACAAGCATTTGCAACAAATACTCAAATAGAGGCTCACAGCGGCATAAGCGGGACTTTGCCGCCACTAGATGACAAGATGTTATAACTAAGTTAAACCACATCTGTGTATCTCAAGGGACTTAATTCAGCTGTCTGTAGTGAATTAAAGTGGGAAATTTTCAAAAGTTTCTCCTGCTGGAAATAAGGTATAATTTGTATTTTGCAGACAATTCAGTAAAGTTACTGGCTTTCCTAGTCATGCAGTGTCTGTGGTGCGTTTTTTAAACTCACGTTTTTGCTATTAAATGGATTCCACTTTACTGTGTTTTGCAAAAGTAATTTATCCCCAAGCCCAAATGGGTTATCCCCGTTTTCAGCTCAAAGCATATGAAAAGGTGGATGTGTATGTCTGTGTAGGCAGGATGTGAACTGCACACCAGCTCGTAGGGTGATGCAGTATTCAGCCAGTGTAGGAAGTTTAACTTATTTTTTTACTGATTTGCAGTGCATAATGGTTACATTCAGGGCTCTGAGTTGGTCCACGCACATAACACATCTTAATTCTTTTTATATCCTTTCCCCTCTCTTCCTCCCGCTCCCTCTATCTCTTGATCTCTTTCCCTGTTGCAAAACTCCTATCTCCCTGTTACCAAGTGGTTCAACTGCTTTATCAAAGCAGCTCTATGAAGGTCTTTGATGACCTGATTACACAGAATTTTTCAGAGGTCATTGTAAAAAGCAGTACCAGGAAATAAACTATTGTTCTAGCTAAAATAGCACCAAAATGTGTTTCAGAAGCATTTCCGTTTGATCAAGTTTTTTTTTATACCAAAAAAGTTTGAAAACATGGACGTTGCATCTAACCATTTGAGCAAATGAGTGGATTCAGACACTCCTTACTATCAGTGCCCATTACAAAACTCAGTTATAATTTCTAAAGGGGGTGTCCTTTAAGAGATCAATATAAAGATTAGTTTAGAAACTGAAAAGGAAAACAAGACGGCAGTGCTTGTCAGCTGGA